AACAGCGTAAATAATAATATTGAAAAACGTATATGATAATGAACAATATATACAAAGAATATACAAGTACAGTATACATAAATGCATTGTTAATAGTAATGTTAAAGAAGTTTGAGGAACTAAATATTGAAAATATATTAAAGCTAAAAGTAGGCACGAGGATAAGTTCAAGCTTGATTAATTTATTCATTTTGTAACCTTTTTGGTTGGTGTTCGTTTATTGTTTAACATTTATAGTCGTGATGGTACTCATCAACACTGAGCAATTCTCACCAACCCACTCCCCTGAGCAGCCCACAGTGTTCAGCCCACTTGCTATGCTATGTAACCTGTTTTCACACTTTCTGACAATAAAAACACAACACTGTTCTTTTTATATTCATATTTTAATTGGTATAAACTTTGACCTACATTAGCTCTATAATATTATAGAAGTGAATTAGTCTAAAGCGGGACTTCTTTTGTTTTCCTCTACGCTACCTGCGTAACACACCTGTCTTCAGGAAGTGCTGTGACGTCAGCGGGAGGTGGTTGAAGGTATGACTCAGGAATTCAACTCAGAAAAATCCTGCTCGACTTGAAGAGCGATCAGCTCGTATAATAGTCTCGCCAGAGGCTAAGAGACACAGCAGACTTAAACCTCCTCACGAGTCGACTGGGTCCAACACATTGGACCGAGCAGGTGTCACATTCATTCTTAGGAAGTGTTTTTTTAAGCGAAAAAGTTTTATCACAAAGATACTCAAAGATGTCTATTTTACCTGATGAGGCGGTGTTTGCTGACTTTAAAAAGCAGTGTTTGTCTACGGACAATTGGGCCAACAAGTACGATAAGGAGGGGATGCAAGTGTGGGTCGAAACTTCTACTTCCCAAAAAAAAAATCCTGTTCACAAAATCAAGGTAAGTTCAATATCCACCAACTTTAGAAGTCACTTTTGGGATATGTGTTAAATTGACAGCGGTTTATTTGTATAACACTTTAATGTAATGTCTGTTTCAGTGTAAAATGACAATGAAAGCTGTATCAGCTGCCACAATGTACGACGTCCTTCACGATAGCCAGTACCGTAAGAAGTGGGACCCCGCCATGTTGGACACATTTGACATTGCCCGGCTCTCTACTAATGCCGATGTGGGATATTACTCATGTGAGGACTCCTTTCTATTCAGTCTTTTACCGTCGCTGTCCGTGTGTTTGTCTCTGTTTAAAACGTGATGCACCACAAACCTGTTAGTCCACAGCTCAGGCCTGACTCAGCTTCAACTGTTGCTCATTGAAATTACACACACACACTGAAAAGGGAAAGTGCATAATAAGAGTTTGATTTTGATTTTGTAAAACTGTTTTTATATGTAAAAAGTGTGCTATATTAAGGCATGATTTAAAATCGGAACTGATTCATATTTGTATTTATGTTTTATAAAAGTGCAGCACACTCTAGATGTAATATGCACCATAGTGAACATTATTTTCCCATGAGCAAGATATGATTTATATTTAAATTCCCAAGTGCATTGTTACGCCATCTCCTTTTAACTTCCATGTCTATTAAAAATGTTTCTTCTGAAGCCCTCAGGGATGCATAATGAGCACCCTCTTGTTTCAGCGGTGTATTTATTGTCATAACAAGGGCTTGTTGTGTAGTTTAATGAAGGGAGACATAATGACTAGATTTGTATGTCTATTTTTCTGCAGGGCTGTGTCCAAAGCCCATAAAGAACAGAGATGTGGTGAGCCTGCGTTCCTGGAAGGTGACGGAGGAAGAGTACATCATCGTTAACTTCTCAGTCAAACATCCGGTATGCCACCTACTATTTCCTATTCCCAACATGCCTTTTGACATAGTGTTCTGTGTGCATTGATTTTCTTCTTCTACACACACCTAACCGAGGTGATAGTGTCACATGTTAACATTGCATAACTTTACCAACATCGTGAAAGAGGAGTTTGTAGTTAAAACTGGATAGTTGTAGTTTTTCTAAATTCTCTGCAAACTGTTTTGATTTAATTCCAGAAATACCCTCCTCGCAGTGACCTTGTGAGGGCCATTTCCGTCCTCACAGGATATTTCATCAAGCCCATTGGACCAAACAGCTGCACTTTCATATACCTTTCACAAGCTGACCCCAAAGGTAAGACCGACACCAACAACAACACTATTTTTGCAAATGGCGGATTCTTGCTAAAACATTTTAGAGCTGTATTTAAATGTTGGTCTCTTATCTCCAGGTTCTCTTCCAAAGTGGGTTGGAAACCAAGCTTCTAAAGTTCTCGCTCCCAGGGTAAGTAATGCAACGTCAGCAACTTTTTTTGTTTGTTTACTTTTAGTCAACAGCAGCCGAGGAGGTGCTAAGGTCAATAAATACAAGTGTATCAGTATATGGGGGTGTGTCCACAAGGCAATTTTTTTCAAAGGTGTGTGTGTGCGTGCGCATAATGGAAAGAGGTTTTCATCTGTCTTAAAGGACAATGGTAACCATAGAAACCCATTTTGAGTGCCTGCTCTGGTAAGGCTGCTGACAAAGGAGTATCTCAGCTCGAGCTGTTGCTCTCTCTCGGCAGAACTCGTTCCCCAGGTTTCGTATCCTCCGTCATTTGAAACTATTTAGACCAAAGTGTATCAACGTGTGTGTGTTAGGAGCTGCCATTGACCTTCTTTACTGAGTAACAGTGATTTATAAAGACAAAACTATTAAAAGGCAATGACGTATACATTTGGCCAAGTAGTGAACATTCCAAATTAGAATGAAAATAATGTAGTCCTTAATTATAGATGCCTTTCCATGTCTTTAGAGGAGTGTAAAATAAAATGTAAAATCAATAGAAGAAACAAGAGTTAAATATCAAAAGGATCTGTTTAGTCATTTAAAAGATACTATTTTTGAAAGGCTTTGGTTATTCAATAAGGGATAGCAATGAACGAAACACCTCTAACAAAGTGCATTCAAGCAAGTCGAAAGGGTTTTTGAAAGTAGCTGTTGGGACTGGTGGGGTCAGGAAAAGTGCTTGCTTGCCTAAATCTTAGAGACTGGAGTATTGTTGCAAACAGTTTTCTCATTGTTTAATATTGTAATGATTTATGTTTTCTTTAGTTGTTGCATTTTACTTTTATGTAGATTGTCAGAGCTGTAAATATTGTCTGTAGCTGCTTCCCACCTAATCTGTTACTCAGTGTTTTCTGACCGGCTTTATTTACATTACATGTTACTTGTTAGACGCTTTTATCCAAAGCGACTTACATACTCAATACTGTGGGCAATCCCCACAGGAGCAATTTCGGGGTGAAGTGTCTTGCCCAGGGACACAACGACATGCTGACTGCAGTGGGGTTTGAACCTGTGACCCCCTGGTCCAAACACCAACGCACTAAACCACTGTGCCACACACCTCCTTTATCTTCAGCTTTGTTGACTGAGAATGAAGGTGTGGTATGACCCTCATTCAGACCTCACCCTTCTGACAATGGTATTCTCTCTTTGCCAACTCCTTGCAGGTGATGAGGAGTGTACACGAGGCGGGACAGAACTACCAACAGTGGAAAGGGCAGAACTCTCCGGCCCAGAAGCCCTGGTTGTGCCCGGAGCAGAACGTCCTGCCCATGATGGACCCGGGCGAGCTGTCCATACAGAGAGCAGACTCGCTAGAAAACGTGGACGAGAGTTCAAAGATCTCCACTCAGGAGTGCGAAGACAGCAGTTAAACCATATCTAAGTGATGTGAGGAAGGGTGGTCTAAGAGGGTGAGACCGGAGGACAGACTGTGTATATACTGACAACTTTAATAAGACTTGGGACCTCCCACTCTCTGTGAAGTCGCCCTTAGGCTCACAAATATTGATATGGTTTTCCAAACGCCACGTGCCTTTTGGGATGAGCATAAAGTGTTTACAGATTTCTTACCAGGCAGAAGTTAAATTGCCATTCACCTCGTTCTATGTTGATCCAAGCTAAACATCTCGCCAGTGTTTTAAGCAAACTATTGTTTTAAGAACTATATTTTTTACATTGTAAAGGATTTGCGGTGTCAGGGTTTAAAATGTATCAAAGTTACAGCACTACATTTACAATAGGTTCTCTGTCAGCTGTTTTTTAAAGCTATTTAAAAAAAGATATGAAGTGTGGTTCTCCACTTTGCCTTTACAAGTGACTGAACGGAAATAAGATGAGTTACTGTAAGTGGTGAAAATAGAGTGATGTGAAATCATTATTTTTCTTTATTATATATCAGATCAAAATTAGGAGCCTGATGGTCACTTTTATTTAGTTTATTCCCATTGAGGCTGGTTGCAGATCACAGCACGAGCTCAGCATGAAACCTTTTTTGAAGGTGAAGGGTTCAGGGTTGCACAGCTCTGGGCGTCAACCTGTTATCTGTTATTCAGAAACACAATGTTATCTAGCCAAATGCAAAAGAAAAGACACTTATTAAATGTGAAAATTGTATTTAATAACCATTAGTTCATTGTATTTAGACATGATTAGTGACGCTGTGTTTATATCATTCATGTGTAATAACAAGAAGACTGTTTGAAGGTTTGTTGTATTTGTTCTCTTTTACCATTAAAGGTTTATGCAATGTAATTCTTTGTTAAGACCCAAGTATGCATCTGTTACGGTTGATGTAAAATGTACATACCAAGTTTGCATTTTGTCAGTTGACTAACACTGAAAGACTGGACCAGGAAATGTTTTGTTTTATGTATTTTTGAAGTTTATTTTGTGCACTCAATCATCGTGATGGAGTGAACATGCTGGAATGAAGCCCTGCAAGCTGAGCTAGCTCTTTCTTCAGAGGATATTTGATGTAGTGTATTTGATCAAATAAACCTAACAAGGTTACCGTGCTATGATAACCAATGCCATTCACTGAATTCCCGTAAAGATGACAATTGAGTCTCAAGAGAAACCATCCTCCATAGTAGAACAAGTTTAGCCGCTTGAACCAGAGCAAACCGGTCCCTTTCTAGCCGGTTCAGGCTCTCCAAGTAAAAACACAAGGTTACAAGGGTTCAAAACGTTTTATTACATTTACCATGTCAAAGTAGTGCTGGAAACCAAGATCATCAGATGGAAAACCAAAAGCTAATCCTATAGTGAAAAGTATTGGTGTACAAAGAGTTGAGATGCAACAGGCAGGTATAGCATATGTACTAAATGTTTAAAAGCATGCAGGAGAAACATCCAGAGGTATTCAACTGCTTTCTAGAAATGTCTGGAGATTTCATTTACACCCTTATCTTATCTCTGCTAATTTTACTGATAAGCACATCTACAAAAACATAGTACAACATGATAAAAGTACCTGACAGTCTTCTGTCTGTTGTTATGATGTATAATTATACAGTTCCACACCTTATACACTAGTTTACAGTTCATAAATTAAATAATTGCAATATTTTTTAGCCCAAAGCAGGTTATGAAATACCCATAATACGTGAAAAAAGTTGGGTCCCCAATAGAAGTCACAGAAATATATATATACACATCTTAACATTTAATTACTCAACTTTGTTAAATATAAAAAAACTGGATTAACATGATATTCACAGTGATATTCAGATCAGTGATATTTACCAGAAGTCTTGCACTATCATTTGCTCTTACAACACGTAAGGCCCTGCTGTCTTTGTTCCATGTGTCAGTGCATACTAAAATCCAAGTTATGTAATTTTCTAGATCTACACTCAGTTTTCCAGTGAGAAACATGATGCTGACTGAGCATGACATTATTTTGAAAGCTCCACAAACTCGTTTGAGAGATTCTTAAGAAATGGCTTAAACAAAAACACTTTTCATGAAGACACTTATCAGCAAGTTTATGTATAGGACTGCATTAATTGTAGCTATCTGTACATGATAAAGCAACTGAGTGTATATGCATTTCTACCTTATACAAGCGTGACCAATGCAAATGTGTTCAGTAAACACAAATGCTACTCTACTTGATCAAGAGGTATGTCAAAAGCTACAGTAAAAAACACCTGATTATATGGATGGAGGAGAAAGATAACCAAACTATAGATGGTCTATAAATGCTATGCTTGACCGGAAAATATTATACATAATTTGTTATGTGAAATGTCGGTTGAACTAAAACTTGCTTCACTTCCTGTGAACACACCCTGATGGAATGGAAATCATCCTGGATCACAGTAGATGGGAGGAAACAGAGTAGATGCTGTCCTTACAGTGAGGACTGTGAGTGAGGGAGTTAGTCATACATCTTGACGCTGAGACGGCCAGAGTCTGTGGGAGGAGGGTAGTGACGTGTGGTGACGCAACTGTACAACTCTCTCTCTTTACTGCCACCTAATGTACAGTCCTCTCCTTCTGCCTTTGGTAGTCTAGTAATAGGAGAACACACAGAGAACAATGTTACAACACTTAAAAAGGGATGCCATTATATAATTTCCTTCCAGTATAATATAATCCAGTTATTTCAAAACCAGTTTTTTTTTTGTTTGTGAATATATACAGCGAGATCAGCCAGTTAGATATCACAGCGAAAGTATGAAGGAGGTACTAATCGTGCCAACAAGTTTCAAATTCTTGAGGTTTAGTCCTAGAGCTACGTAGTCTATGAAAGCAATTCTGACTTTTTCTTAAGGCCTATAACAAACTGCATACTTCACTTGAGCACACTATGGGTCTAATAAAAGCAAATCATGTTATGCATTTAAAATGGATTGGAATCTGCCCAAAAGTAATCAACTTCAGCTTTACTTTTCTTAATGTTAACTTCAGATAACAAACTTTCAATTCCATTCTCTCTGCCTCCCCTTTTCAACACTGTATCTTGAATAGAAGAACTCTGGCCCACAAAATATCTTTAACCTATGTGCCAATATCTCATTGGAAAATGTATTTACATTCGCCCCAAAACAACAAACAATAAATTCAAGAGATATGATTACTAACTAAGCAACTAACTACTGACTTAAAAAGAAAAAGGTATGACATACAGTGGGGCAAAAAAGTATTTAGTCAGCCACCAATTGTGCAAGTTCTCCCACTTAAAAAGATGAGAGGCCTGTAATTTTCATCCTAGGTAGACCTCAACTATGAGAGACAAAATGAGAAAAGAAAAAAAAAAAAAATCCAGAAAATCACGTCTGATTTTTAAAGAATTTATTTGCAAATGATGGTGGAAAATAAGTATTTGGTCAATAACAGAAGTTCATCTCAATACTTTGTTGTATACCCTTTGTTGGCAATGACAGAGGTCAAACGTTTTCTGTAAGTCTTCACAAGGTTTTCACACACTGTTGCTGGTATTTTGGCCCATTCCTCCATGCAGATCTCCTCTAGAGCAGTGATGTTTTGGGGCTGTCGCTGGGCAACACGGACTTTCAACTCCCTCCAAAGATTTTCTATGGGGTTGAGATCTGGAGACTGGCTAGGCCACTCCAGGACCTTGAAATGCTTCTTTCGAAGCCACTCCTTCGTTGCCCGGGCGGTGTGTTTGGGATCATTGTCATGCTGAAAGACCCAGCCACGTTTCATCTTCAATGCCCTTGCTGATGGAAGGAGGTTGTCACTCAAAATATCACGATACATGGCCCCATTCATTCTTTCCTTTACACGGATCAGTCGTCCTGGTCCCTTTGCAGAAAAACAGCCCCAAAGCATGATGTTTCCACCCCCATGTTTCACAGTAGGTGTTCTTTGGATGCAACTCAGCATTCTTTCTCCTCCAAACACGTCTAGTTGAGTTTTTACCAAAAAGTTATATTTTGGTTTCATCTGACCATATGACATTCTCCCAATCCTCTTCTGGATCATCTAAATGCTCTCTAGCAAACTTCAGACGGGCCTGGACATGTACTGGCTTAAGCAGGGGGACACGTCTGGCACTGCAGGATTTGAGTCCCTGGCGGCGTAGTGTGTTACTGATGGTAGCCTTCGTTACTTTGGTCCCAGCTCTCTGCAGGTCATTGACTAGGCCCCCCCGTGTGGTTCTGGGATTTTTGCTCACCGTTCTTATGATCATTTTGACCCCACAGGGTGAGATCTTGCGTGGAGCCCCAGATCGAGGGAGATTATCAGTGGTCTTGTATGTCTTCCATTTTCTAATAATTGCTCCCACAGTTGATTTCTTCACACCAAGCTGATTACCTATTGCAGATTCAGTCTTCCCAGCCTGGTGCAGGTCTACAATTTTGTTTCTGGTGTCCTTTGACAGCTCTTTGGTCTTGGCCATAGTGGAGTTTGGAGTGTGACTGTTTGAGGTTGTGGACAGGTGTCTATTATACTGATAACGAGTTCAAACAGGTGCCATTAATACAGTTAACAAGTGGAGGACAGAGGAGGCTCTTAAAGAAGAAGTTACAGGTCTGTGAGAGCCAGAAATCTTGTTTGTTTGTAGGTGACCAAATACTTATTTTACAGAGGAATTTACCAATTTATTCATTAAAAATCCTACAACGTGATTTCCTGGATTCTTTCCCCCCATTCTGTCTCTCATAGTTGAAGTGTACCTAGGATGAAAATTACAGGCCTCTCATCTTTTTAAGTGGGAGAACTTGCACAATTGGTGGCTGACTAAATACTTTTTTGCCCCACTGTATGTCAAATCTTGAGTATGGATAACGCCTATGATATGATTTAGTAGAGTAAGACTTACTGTAAGGAAAGAAGCGAACCCTCATCAGTATCTCTCGCGCAGTCTTCAGAATCTCTACAGCCTGAAGAGGAAACAGAAATGAACTTGATACAATATACTAAAAGGGCTTTTTCCTAGAAAGAAAACAGCTGGGGAAACATGATGACTACAATGCAACATGGGCCCAATCTATTGAGGCATTTTATTATTATAAATAGTTACATGTTTTAATGGGAATATAAAATATTTAACTGGCACAAAACCTTTTGTGCCAGATATGGTTTAATGGTAATACAAATAACACGTTGATTAAAATGTGTTTGGATCTCAGCATGAAAATAGAGCTCTGACTTACTCTTGAGTGCTCTATGTCTTGGAAATCCACCTCATTCACAGACAGAACCTGGTCTCCCTCTTGTAGTCCTGCTCTGTGGGCATCTGAGTCTGGGACCACCTGCCAATAAAAACACAGACATCAGAACTCACAATGTGGATTCAATTAGACCGCGGAACAACAAGTAATATTGCCAATCAAATCCATATCACACACACCTTGGAAATGAAGATGCCAAGCTGTGAAGCCTTGCCCCCTCGGATGTTGAAGCCCAGCTGTGCTCCGGGAGGTTTCTTTAATACGACAGTACGAGGCAGGAACTGGGTGAGCTCATTGTTGTAGTCAGGGTGTTGAACCCGCTGAAAATAAACAAAGAAAAAGAAAAGTGTGTATAACAATCGCATAGTATGTATCACATCAATGTGAGCCTGATTTTTTCACATGTGGGTTACAGATTGTAACACACAGAATACTTAAATGAAGTGGGGAATTTATGCTCTGACAAATACTAAAATATACAGTTCAAAGCTTTAGAAAAAAAGTTCATTTTTCCCTGTCAAAGTTAGAGATGGATTAAGGCAGAAAGTGAGGTTCTACTGATTTGTGTCTTACCTCCTGTGTGGGTATCCATGCTGGTGGGTTTTCATAAGAAGGCAGGAATACCACTGGGAGCTGGTAGTCATCATAAGGAATTTTCTGATCCATTGTTTATAAAAGCACCTAAATACAGAAGAAAAAACATTGTTATGAAGAAGAGTTCCTTACTTCCTGAGTCTATATTATAGATGTTCTTATTTGCTACAGCACATTTGTCAATTCAGAAGTTATATTCTTATAACAGTTCACACGCATGTGAAAAACTAAAAAGTTGGTTTAGTTTACAAGCTTTTAATAGATATTGTTCCTATAAGTCGCGGTTAGATTTGTTTCCCACGGTCATAGTTTGACCAAATATGCACTATCAACAGTATTTGGTTAAACAAATGTAATGTAGGGTTTTTTCTATGACATCAACATATTTGCTATGGACACGTCTGTTGTACTAAGTGGACCGCAGTGTCGTTAAGCGTGTGTGAAATGTTCGGTATTACTTTAACATTATGTGAATATGTTAACTACAGCTGAGACCAAAACGCACCCAGCTAGTTACGAAGCTCTACTGAAAAAGCAGTTTCAAACCACAGAAATTATGCTGAAATTATACACATGCTGAAATGTATTTAAGTACTGCTGTACTTATCGGTAGATAGCAATGACATTATGTAAAGGGTGCTTTAGCTGACAGAAAATCATTTTACACTGCAATTTACAAACGAGATAGCTACAGTTAGCTTACAAGCTAACTTTGAAACGAGCCTACTCTGCTCTGTTGAACGCATCATCCATAACATTCACTGTTGTTGTCATTTGAACTATAACTAGTAATATAGTGTATAACAAAATTTAGAATGACAGTCAAAAAATGACAAAGTATCTTACCTGCTAGACTGAAGGCTAGCAACCAGCTAGCAACAGCAACAAGCCTTTTTTGTGTTGCATTAAACAATTACTGGTATTCTGTGGTACAGCGTCACCTGCTGGTGTGGAGGGGTCACGGCAGTTTGAGAATATACAATTATGCATATTTTATTTTGTGTGCATTCATTTGTATATCACTTACATTTTACATCTGGTCAATTGAAAAATGTTAATGACTTTATACTTCTGGGTAATTATGGCAATACATCTCATTTGAACTTATAATAATAGATCATGATTACTCATAACATTAATGTGAAGTAAGTGTTTGGAGTTAATTTTGAATGCTATTATTGTGATGAAGAAAACTGAATGCATGTTTTGTTACCAGAACATATTTTTTGTATCATTGATTTAACATTTTCCATTCTCTTCTCACCTTGCCAATTCCCAGGCTACTGTAAATGAATTGCAATATATTTTAACGCAGGACAGTGAGTGTTTCATTTCTTTAGTGTCCTAACACAAATTACACATTTCACTTGGATTTGATATGATGGCCAGGCAAGGACAGCCAAGTTTATTTATATAGCACCTTTCAATTTAAGGCAATTCAAAGTTCTTTACAAAAAGGAAGAAGCATAATGATATAGTGTACCGGAATTACATCATAAAATGACATTCAAAAATAATATTTAAAAAGAGAATACAAAAAAATATAAATAAATGTAAAATAATACAGGTATAAAGTACAATAATAAAAATGACAGTGCAGTGTACACATGAATAGTTATTTTATAGTACATATATGTGACTTCATTTAAGAATTTGTCTGCAAGTTTGTCAGCAAAAATATGTATGAGCATAAAGTGAAACATGTTAGAGCGCCACATTAGTTCAAGTCAATTTGAATCTTGTTTAGAAAGTTTGAGTACTTCAAACTGTTTATTTTGATCGTCACAAAGACAGGGACAAAATTGCCAAAATTGAAATGTTTTTTGTCTCACAGCAACCATTGAACATTCAACTTCTTCAGATACATTTGTGCAGCTTTCCTCATATAATCACACAATTTTAATATCTGACGTGTATTAGATTTTTATTTGATGCAATCTCTCATTTACAACATTTTTCATCATCAGCTGACAACAGAATACAGCTCAGGTTCTAAGTTGTGTGATTTGGCATGATCACATAGTAGCCTAATATGCCTGCATACATGTAATTTAATTACATTGTTGTTGCATCTACTTCATTTCAAAGTGAAGACTGATTTGCTAGGTAAATCGAAAATGTTTTATAAATGAACAACATGCCTCCTCTCTGAAGAACCAACACCTTACCGTGGTAGAGAGGTTTGTGTGCCCTGATGAACCTGGGGGCTGTGTTGTCTGGAACCTTGTGTTCCTGGTAGGGTCTCCCGCAAATTGGTCTCAGGCAAGGGGCCAGACTAAGATTGGTTCAAAGACCTCATGAAAGAAAAACCAAGAAGTGAGGATACCCGGCCCGGAGGAAGCCCGGGGTCCCCTTCTGGAGCCAGGCCCAGAAGGAGGATTCGTCTGCGAGCGTCTGGTGGCCGGGCTTGCCACGGAGCCCTGCCAGGCACAGCCCGAAAAGGCAACATGGGCAACACCTCCGCTTCTCCGTCCCGCGGGCCCACCACCTACGGGAAACAGCGATGGGGTGGCAGAAGGGTGGCAGTGAAAGCAGAGGGTCTCGACGGACCAGACCCGGGCGACAGAAGCTGGCTTTGGGGACGTGGAACGTCCACCTCTCTGGGGGGGGAAGGAGCCGGAGCTTGTGCGGGAGGTGGAGCGTTACCAGTTGGATCTGGTTGGGCTCACCTCTACTTCTTTGTTGGAGTTTACCCCAGTGGACGAGAGGGTCGCCTCCCTAACCCTGCGGGTTATGGGGGGGGAAACTCTGACTGTTGTATGTGCTTATGCACCAAACAGCACATGTTCATGTGCGTTGAAGTCTCCCAGCTGTTAATTTATCATTGTACAATTCCTATGATGATGTTTTATTGTTTTGTCAAGCACTTTGTAACTTTGTCTGTGAAAAGCGCTTTATAAATAAACTTTACTTACTTTACTTACTTACATGTGGGCAATGATGGAGACACTTGGAGGGGCGTGATTGGGAGGAATGGCCCCCTTGATCTGAACCGGAGTGGTGGTTTGTTACTGGACTTCTGTGCTAGTCATGGATTGGCCATAACAAACACCATGTTCGAACATAAGGATGCTCATAAGTGTACGTGGTACCAGAGCACCCTAGGCAGAAGGTCCATGATCGATTTCGTTATCGCATCATCGGACCTGAGGCCGTATGTTTTGACCACTCGGGTAAAGAGAGGGGCGGAGTTCTCAACTGATCACCATCTGGTGGTGAGTTGGGTCGAGTGGCGGGGGAAGCCTCTGGACAGACCTAGTAAGCCCAAACGTGTAGTGCGGGTGAACTGGGAACGCCTGGGGGAGGCCCAAGTTCAGGAGGCCTTCAACTCACACCTCCGGCGGAGCTTTTCGGGCATCCCTGTTGAGGCGGGGGACATCGAACCAGAGTGGGTGGTGTTCAAAGCCTCTATTGCCGAAGCCGCGGCGGGGAGCTGTGGTCACAAGGTCTTAGGTGCCTCAAGGGGCTGTAACCCTCAAACCTCCTGGTGGACACCGGTGGTCAGGGAAGCCGTCCGACTGAAGAAGGAGGCCTTCAGGGATATGTTATCCCGGGGGAGTCCCGAGGAAGTTGCAAGGTACCGACAGGCCCGAAGGGCAGCAGCCTCAGCCGTGGCCGAGGCAAAGCAGCGGGTGTGGGAGAAGTTCGGAGAAGCCATGGAAAAGGACTTTCCTGCGGCACCAAAGTTGTTCTGGAAAACTGTCCGACACCTCAGGAGGGGGATGTAAGGGAAACTTCTGTGTAGCTATGCAGTGGGAGTCACCGACTCAGGAAGGAGACACGGTAGGAGCAGTAGCTTTGATGTCAAAACACTGATGATTTATTGGAGTTTCGGCCGGAGCATTCACATCACAAATCACAGCAGTCCCCGTGAGACTGCACGGGTGGGTTGTCACGTCAATTCTAAAGAACTCTACCTCAGACCCATGTATTTAACTAGTTCCGAGAACATCATCAAACTGCTGCATAACAAGATAAAATCATAACACCTCTATCAGCTGACGTCAACAGGCAGGAACATAGAATCATAACACCTCTATCAGCTGACGTCAACAGGCAGGAACAGGGAGACAGAACACTGAGAGCACAGCAGCCAAGGTTACGAGGTGCGTGTGCTCAGTCAGGACAGTTTGAACTGATAAACTGGGTCAAAGTTATGGGCCTTGGAAAATATTTCCACAACAGTTTCTTCCTTTTTATCAATTTTGATAATCTAAAGTTCCTTTCTTTTTATCAATTTTGATAATCTAAAACCCTTAGTCTAATAATATTTAGTTCAATACTTAAATCAATAGGAATCTTCAGATTTGAGTGTGGACTTACACAACATCAATTACATCAATAACAATCACATTAAGATTGAAACATTCAATCACAATGATTGATACAGCCAATCATAATAGAAAAATCATCTCTCATCAGTGTTTGATCATCCTTTGTCAAAATAATAATGAACACACATAAAACACAGGTGCACAATAGCAAAAATATATAATATAATATAAAATCAAAACCAGCTTGCCGCTTTAAAGATTTACTTCAAGGCAATCACTAGTCAAAAGCATTTTAAAACTCAGGACTGTAAGAGATCCAGCTAAAAATTCACAGTTAGAGTATATAATTCACACTGGTGATTTGATCAATCTGTAATCTGCAAAAGTGCAGTGTCCTCAATTTTAGGATTACTTTTACGTTTACTTAAATACGCTTTAGTCAAGAGTAAGGCACTTAGTGAAATCAATACATTCATTTTAGTCAAGTACATTGTTCAAAATCTGAAAAGGAAAAGTCAGGCAAATATTCAAAGACTTTTGTAAAAACCTGGAAAGGAAGGATTAAACATTCTTAAAACTTGAATTATTACATTTGTAAATGCTACCACTGATCTGTACCAAATTAAGTCTATCAATTATTCCTATTAGTCATACTTACCTGAGCATCTACTTATGGTACTTGGAAAGTATTCTTCTGTGTTTATCTAATGTTGAATATAGAATATCAATTTCTTTAAATTATACTTCTCTAATTCGAGGATCAAATATGCTACATAATTGTTATATGAAATATTATAAATATTTGTTTTGGGCCAAAACTGAAATTAATCCAGTACTTGAAACATCATTGTAGGTATTTCTGTGCATGGATAATACATTAAAGAGTAGTGTTGTTAAGCCTGATTGCTGGACGATTAAGGATATTAACATTATCTGTGATAATAGTAGAAATATCTTATGATTCAATACTTTATAATCTGAATTAATTTTGTTTAGTGCGAAAGTGTAATCTGATCCGGCAAAAATATATTAATCACCACTATTCAACACATGTCTGGTCATTGGAAATATAAAGACAGTCATTAATTGTACATCTGTAACCATCCAAGATATAAAATCAATTCAAAGATCATCTTTGTACGAGAGCTGGAAAAACGTGTCCTTCAGTCTTTCTGACTCGTTCTCCTCCTCTCTTTATGACAAAGAGTGTCTGGTGTGTAAAGGCATCCTGATACTGTAGATTAGCACTGAGGTGCTGATTGGCTCAAACTCTTCTTCATCAGAGCGCCATATTTAAACCCCCCAATTGCTCTGCTTTTGTGTGGCTCATTAGTGAGCACTGTAGTTGATCCCCCCAGTGAAACGGAGGCTCATCCGCCTGCATTCCTTCTGCTATCTGCTTGAGAGCAGTGCCAGACAAAACTGCGTATTCCAAGTGGCGCATCCAGGTCTCCCCCCGTGATGGGAGAGGTTAGGAAGATATCTGCCCCCCCAAGAAACAAGGAACCTTGTATGAAGCCTCTGAAGTCCTCGCTCGTCCCGCAGGGTTGTCTGCCTGAGCCCACCGCGCAGAATGGTGAAGAAGCATCCCATCTCCTCAGATAGTTGAAGATTAGAATCCTCTCATCTCGAACGACCTTGTGCCTCCTTGCCCGTGGCTGGGGGTGCCCTCTGCAGCCGGA